CAAACACACTACACCACAAGAGCAATTTTAATAATGTTTTCATGTTTTTACAGGTTATTTGCCAACGTGCTTCAATTCAGCACATCTATAAATAACTGAGGAAAAACATATGAAAGCCAACTACTGTAAGCTAAATACATAAAAGGTAGTTTAAATTGGAATTACACTCCATTTAATAAGCACACATGTATAGCTATTTCTTCTTAACATCTACAGGTGACATCATCTAACACACATTTACTTCAAATACCATTACGAAGACTTTGATGAAGACTTTAGCCCAGACTGAGACAACTGGCCATTGACTGTGAATGTTTCCTCTTAAACAACCCTAATGATTTCAGAACAGAAAAAAACTGTCTCCATTTGATCTCATAAATAAGTATAACTTTTCCAATCCCCCACCCTGTGCAGGCAGATTGCCAACTGGACAAGAGCACCCTAGTCTGGGCAGTGAACTTTGCCATTAATAAAACTTGGGGTTTTTCCAAATAGAAAATACAAGACATCATTGCCAAGATAGACTACCTCATGTCTGTTGGATCCATAGGTGGTCCACACTTTAGAGTTCTTGCTACGTTATTAAATCACACAAATATACATATATATATACAGAGAGAGAGAGAGAGATGCATGGTATATATACACACATATAGAATAATACTGGTCCTCAAAGTTAGCACAGTGTAGAGGAAGACTGTAGATCAGGTATACAGTACAATGAAAACTATTCAGAATTTACTTTTTAATTGTGAGGTTTTTTGGTACAGATAAAATCTAAGTACACTTTATGAATGGCAAGGTCATAGTGCTATACTGTCAACTTACTTTATTTGGGGAAAAATATAGTTCTTACACAGGACACTTTTTAAATGAAATATATAAATGCTCCTGGACATAATCTCAGTTCCCCCTGAACTGCTGAGTTAAACAATTGCTTCAGTGAATCAGCAGAAGGGTTAAGAGCTTATTTAAGCATCTAACATTACACTGCATTCTTACACCAAGCAAAAGCACCACCTTCAATAAACAGGAAAGGATTGTTAAGGGCCAGTCATAGATTATGAAGGATGGATTTTGGATATGCATCATTCTAGGACAAACCCCTCCCCCCGCAACAAATGCTTGGAAACCCATTTTACATATCAGTCTAAGTTTTGATTTGAAAGTGCACAAAGAGTATTTTCAAATATTTTAATTCACACATGAATGTCTGCATAGGTTTTATGAGTATAAAATGCATTGGTCACAAGTTATCTTAAATTATAGCAATATTACGATTACTTTTCAGAACATTTATCTTTAAACAAAATGCCAGGAATTGAATAAATCAAATCTGCTCTGAAAGTAATTGAAAAGATTGTCTTTTTAAATCATTCTAGTGCATTATTAAGCATCTTATAATCTGCTAACATGAATATATGGAGCCATTGCACTACAGTTATAGGGATCTATTTCATGCTGATTGGTAATGCAGCAATCTTTTAGCTATGCTTTTATAGCAGAACAAAGATATAACAAAGACAACGCTATTAATGACAATCACTGTGTGATAGACTCCATAGAGATGATAGTTACGTTTTTATTTCAATGGATGCCATTTATAAGAGTCAAGTAATTAGGTGAGCTGTGAATCAGCAGCTCACCATGAAATTGATTTTTGAGCCCATGGAAACCCTAACCCCCATAGTCAACATCTTCAAAAGGATAAGAGAAGATAATCGCAACTGTCAAATCTATGAAAATGTTTTACTAGTTTAGTTGTTCCTTGTGCACCCACTGCCACCTGGCCATCTCCCCCCCAGCCCTGCTCCAACTGGAGGCTCCTTTTAGAAGGTATGGGAGAGTAGAATGGGTTCAGTCACCTCTGAGTAATCCTCACTGTCTTCACGGAAATATTTCACCTCCATTTGGCAGCTACCAACCAGCTGAGAACTCACAAAACGAAGAATCACAAGATACCATCCACTTGTCCTCACCCTTGCACAGCAAGCGTGTTAATGTGCCCTCATACTGATGTCCCAGTTTAAGGATGATTTGATCTTGGAGACATCAGGTGTGATGGAAGAACACATGTAGGTCCTTTTTAATGCATGTCTTGCATGCCTGTCCCAATCAACTTGTTGCTATGCAACATTGCATTTCCACGGAATTTGCATCATTGTTCAATCATGATCGATTAGTCATTCATCTCTTTGCTGTTTGCATTTTGCCCACAAATTATACAGTCAATACACTTTACAGTATATTCTGCGAAGCGCTTTGTAACGTCTCAACAGTGTGATATGGTGCTATATCAAATGCAAACATTATAATTATTATTGTGAAACCACAGAAAAAAAGGTTTGCTAAACATTTCACCCAAGCCATTCATGCTGTTTCCTGCACTTACTTGTCCTTTTCTAAAAATCACCTTGTAAATGATGTGCCATTAATTGGTCATTTATCTATTCGCTGTATAGGATAGTAATGGAGTAGATTAGCTTTTGAAGTTACCTACAAAGCAGTTACTACTTTTCCAAATAAACCATTGAAGTGTTTGGGGCATTTGAGAAAGGGTGGTTGAAGTCAAGATCCTGGGACTCATATGAGAAATAGTCTGATGCTATAATAGGATAATGTTAGGGTGGGTATTATAGATGGATGAAAATGAAAATGAAAATGCATGGCTTCCTTGATTCATACCTCTTATGATCTTGCCTGGCATGTATCAAGTAATAAGGCGCTATGTCAAATACACGCAGTATTGCTGTTATTTTATTGTTGTAATAATGTATGTTATAAATGGATCTGCGGTTTGCTTAAAAAGTTATCATGTTGTTAAAAAGGTGAAAGAGTTTAGCTTGGATCAAAAGTGTTGATCTCAAACCTCACTTGATGTTACACAGTAGACCTTAAACACAATTATTTCCACTGGAAGAAATGGCAACAGTTTTAAACAAAACATTTGATCTTATTAGAGTTGCTTTTACTTATTTTCACTGAACTTTACGTTCACTAAGGCCTGAGTTATGGTCTGCCTCTAGACAGCAGGATCATGAGAGGATTTCATACGCTTGTGAATGAAATGATGTGAAAGGGACCATGTAAAGTCAATTTGTTGCTGTTGTCTTTGCCTTGACATGTTATATTAATGTACACAGCAGATAAATACAAGAGCAGCCTATAATATTACCAGGAACTGGCAAGGATTTGCCCATTTATATTCTATATCTGAAAACCTTTACTTAAACAGTTTATTATTACTGTATCTGATTCCTCTCAATCCATGTAATGAGCAGCTTTTCTCTCATTTGGTTTTAGTCAAGCAAATACCCTAAGAACAAAGGTACCTTCTGGAAATAAAAATGTTACTATAATGATTTAGTCTGACCCATTTGATTCAAGAATGTAGCGCAAATGTGAAATATCATTGCTTCAAAGCAAATGAAGCTAAGGGATATTATGAAATGCTATAAATTTCATTCCCAGGTGAGAAGGAGAAATAGAGGCTGAGACTAAATGGACGCCAACTTTAAATTCAGGTTTGGGTTCGTGAAATTGGCTCACCTCGTCGTCCATTTCAGATGCATGAAATGCTGAGACCATTTGCTCTGATATAGCCAAAGAAACATTTTCTCTTTCACGCTTAAAAAGTACCAGATTACAGCTGCTGCCAATCTCCAAGCACTTGAGTGGAATACACTGGGAGTGTGTGAAACCATCACTTTAAAAGGTTCTGCGATCAATGTCTCTATAAATGACAAACCAAAATGTGATGTGCTTTATATCACTTAACCATTCGCAAAACTCTGGGAGGTTAAACAATTGTCGATTTGTGTCTTATTGCCAGATTTAATGTTTGTAAAATCTATTGAAATAAAACCGCTAAGGATAAGCAATAAAATTATTAAGAAATTATCCCCAAATGCATCCCAAGTAAGCAACTAATTTTATATCCATTAAGTTTTACAATATTCCCAATTAGAGACATCCTTTGTTGAACCCTTCATCTCCGTCTGTTGGGGCTAATCGCTAACATTAATGATCATTTTGGTATGGGTTTGAAAGGGTTTTTCTGTTATAATATATGTAAAGATCATTAGTTTTGGAGATCTGCTTGTGAAGGATCAACATTGTGATAGTTAACACTAAGCAGACTTGTTTGGTGATACAAGGTTTTGTCACTTTTTGCCAACAAAATACAAGGTATTGTTTCTGCTAGGTGTATGTTTGCCTTGATCATGAGCCATGATTTCCTTTCCACAGTCTTTAACAAAGCTTACAACAACAAAAACAATAAATTGCATTTATATAGTATTGTTCACGTTGAGAGGATGTGACTATATTACTAAACTTTAATGAAATAAAAGCACACAAACTCTGCAGAAACTCAGTAAATACCTTGACATTAGATTTCAGAAGCAGACATGCATCAACGGGATCCTTTTGGTACATGTCACTCCAGAAATAATTTACTTCTTTACGTAACTGGAGAGCATATAAAGGCTCATAGATGAACTGCAAAAGATTTGAGGAACCTTTTACATTAGTCATTTGATTTATCCCACAAGTCATGTCATCTGCACTACCAGAGGAAAGATGATGCTAATCACAATGTTTTCAAATGTCTATCCAAGAACACATAAATTTGCAGGAAGGCCGTCCTTCCGTTCATTTAATCTCAGCCCTCCAGAATATCCAATCTACTATCCTCCTGCCACACCTTCAAGCTGTTTTTTTTTAAATGTGCCCAGTGTCCAGGCCAGTGGTTGATTACCTTCAGAGTAAAGAAAAACTTTTGGTATCTGTTCTAAAATTGCCCACTACAAATCTAAACCTCTTTAGTGTGGTACATCATAAAGTTTTGTTCTGGGTTCACTTTTTCAATCCCATTTAAATTTTTATACACCTCTATGAGATTTCTGTGAGTCATCCTTTCTCAAGACTAAAGAATCCTGGCTTGTCTAATCATTGCTCATATTTCAGAAAAGTACTATATGAAGAGTTTACAAGTTAACTCAGGTTCTGCTATATTCATCTTTAATTTTACAGACAGTATTTGTGGTTGAGAAACATACATAGATGGGGAGTGGGGGGGGGGGGGGGGGGGGGGGGGCGGTGTTCAGATATGTCAATGAGTTACAGAAAGTATTCTTTCACCAAAGGATTGTCCAGTTACACAAGATTGATTCAGGTAAAGAAGACTTACGGTTAAAGAAACTCTAGTGTCACAGACTACATCAGATATTTACAGAGGTTTCTTATTACTAGTCGTGAACAAATAAAAAGGCAAGTGTTAAATTTAGGAAGCAACCAGAACAAGATTAAGGCTGGGAAAAATGCAATGGGAAGAGATCAGTGCATCACATTTATAAGTGAGGTAAGGATTGTAAGTGTTCCATGGTGTGGTAGGATGCAGCCTGTGTCTGTTGTAATTCTCCACTTAATTATTTCCTGCCTGAGGTTAGGTTGCTGCGTGGAGGAGCAATGCAAAGATGTGACATTTCCCCACAGGAAGGTCCAGTTGTTCTCTTGCAATTGTTTTATCCTGACATTATATGAGCTGACCCAACACTGTCTTGAGCACCTCCGGTTACATTATTCAGGCTTTATTACTCTGAACTTTTTATTTTGTTGCATATGAAAGATTTCTACTACAGTCAGTATTTCCTCTAAAACAACACAATGTCACTTCATAATATGAAATTTGATCCTGTCATTTAACAGTGTAAAATGCAACTATTTTAAACACAAATCTTTATTTAATTCTGTATTTAAAATAACCCTTAATGGTTCATCTCTTGAAGTTTGTGGAATTAGTTGGATTATATAGACCAATTTCAGAGAATTAATATTCAGGTGAAAAATATGTTTCATAACAATTTGAGAATATCGATTCTATTATGAAACACTGCATTTTTAACCCAGTGATTGGTTTGTAGCTGAACACTAAGGATCTTGGATCTTCAAACTCTTTCTGATTTACATGAAACCTTTATACTGAAAAGCTGGTTTTAATTAGTTAGCTGCAAAAGTGAATGCAATATGTTATTTCCTATTGTTTGGTTTCCTGAAAGTTTCCTAAATTATAGGCTGACTTACTCTATTTGAAGAACTAGCAGTAAAGGTGCATCTCTTCCTGAGGAAATTAAGTTTATCTTAGTCTGCTGCCCTCTTCTGAGGCAAGCTCATATTGCTGACTCTAAGATTCACTCTGATTCTGCTTGTGTTGCTGTTTTTGTAATTTATGCTGCTCCTAGCATGGATACCTTAGACTGTAAAAAAATGTTTTAGTGCATAGTAATATTTAAATATGAGTTTGATAAGAAAAGAACTACTGTCCCCATTTTTATGCTGACACACTGTTAAAACTACTCATCTGTGACAATAATGACAAGGAATAAAAATGGCTGCATATTAGCATAAAGTGAAAAGTTGTGAATACTGTAATGACATTGTGAGGCAGAAGGAGGATTTTGTGCTCCCAACCAAGCACGTTAACTCTGAGTATTATTTCCTCTGCACCTCAGGACAGGGGAGCACGAACTGTGCACTGATACCCGTCTATGGACAAATATGTGATTTAGTTGCATCCCTGAAAAACTCCGACCAGGTAACACTTAGGAACCAAGGATTCCCTTTTGGGTCTAAAGGGTTAAGGAACGAAACAGGCTAAATGCAGCGGGAAATGCCCCTGTTGGAGCCCTGCATATCTACCCAAAAGACTGACATATAATCCTCTGAAGTAAAGTGAAAATTCTGGCACTCAAATTCAAGTACACAGGGCGCTCCATTAAATATTAGTTTCTTTATCAGCAGAACTTTCCAAGAGTTTCCGAGGATCAACTGCAACATCATCAGTGTCGATGCTCTTGATATGGTCACCACCATCTTTCACCTCTGAATCATCTGGGGGTGTTTTCATATTCTCCTCTCTAATTTTCTTCTCCTTCTCCAGGAGTCTGTAGTTGATGAAATTTCCGATAAATAAGTAGATGCTTGCTACTATTACAATGCTCCCACAGGTTATGTACATGTATTTGTAATCTTTAGTTAGGTCCACCAGTAAACCTGAAAGGCAAAAAAGGATCAGATTATATTCAAGATCTGATTCCGTAAGGATTAGCAAAATAAAGTTACAAACTGGGCAAGCAAATAACACCTCATGTTAAAGGAACACTTTACAAAAAAATATTTGGTAAACCTTTTCTCAACTGCTTAAAAGTCCACGATGCAATGATATAAACAACTTCTAAATGTACTAATGTACTATTGTATCACTCATCCTTCCCCAAATAAGGAAAGTTTATCAAACGTTTTTTCTACCAAGACAATGCATCTTTAAGCATCAATTGGCAAGCATCAATCAATCAATCAATAGTAATCCTCTTTATATTTGATATAGTGGCTTTCTTGTTAGAAGGCTGTCTCAAAGTGCTTCCCAGAAATTATTGTATGTATTTTGTAGGCAAAATATGCCGCCAATTTGCGCACGGCATTATCCCACAAACACGATGACCAATTTTATCTGGGCAGTTGTTAGCCAGGATAAACTTCCTTCTCTTTTTGAATTGTGCCGTGGGATCTTTAACATGCAATAGGCAGATGGGATTTTTGTTTAAAGTCTCATCCAAATGATGGCACAACAATAATGACAAAAACAACAAAAATTACATTTGTAAAGCGCCTTTCACATCGGGAGGATGTCCCAAGGCTCCTCCAATAATGCAGCCCTCCCCTATCACTGTATTGAAATGACAGCCAACACAATGTGAGTTCAAAGTCCTGAAGTGGGCCACAACCTTCTGACTCAGACATAAGATGTGTTACTTTAACTGCAAGGCAAGCAGCAGTTAAGCTTGGACCATAAAGAGAGTTTCCCATCATTAATGTAGACATCAATGAGGATTTGTTCAGTAAGAGCCGGCAGTATTGATGATTTTAGATAACATCGCCATTCCTACATTCTGATGCAAAGCCAGCATTCCTATTGAACCACTCACAGTGCAAGTGACTTGCGAAGAAACTGGCACATTAAAGGGGCATGATCTTCCAGAAAAACTGTTCATACTATTTTCACGTGTTTTCCAGTGCACAAACGAGCCAAGTTCATCACCCCAGCAGTGTAAAATTGCTTTGCGTTTATCTAATATCATTTTAACATCAATGCGATAACCCTCTTTCTCCATCTTGTCATTTTCTGAACAAAGTGTTTGCCCGGTGTCTTTTAATGAAAACTGTCTTATCCATTGTATGCCCATTATAAAAATGAAAGGAAAAGATAGCCATTTTTAGTGATAAGTATAAGGCAGACCCCAGTGTTTCATTAACTGCAGATATTCTTTTCAGGAATTGTCCAACATCAAAGAAAAAAAATGAAAGTAAGAAACAAGCTGGAAGGGTTGCCCTTTTCCACACTGAAGTTACATGAACAAGCTGAAGTCACTGTATATTGTAGCATTCTGTCCGGAGTGAATACACTGAAAAAATACCTCTACCTAAAGGTTGTTAGAGAGAAGGAAGGTGATTGTCCAGCAGCAGTCCTGCTTCTTGTCCAGCCTGGTAGTTCTCTGGAAGTTGCCTCCAGAACTGTGTGTATTGTATTACAGGTTTTAAGCTGCTCTACAATGCTGCAATAACTAGTAATCAGCCTCATCGCAATATCTCCCAGTATACCCTCCTCACTGCTTTTATCAATTTCTTGTTCACAACAGAGAATCATAAACTGTATTATGTGTGGCTTCAACAAACTGCCTAATAGAGATGGTTGGCTGTAATAGCCAAATAAAGCATCAACAAGTGGAGGTGATGATAAATGGACCTGGTCTGCAGCAGTAGGTACTGACAGTAAATTAAATTATACCCTCTCTGCGGTGGCAATACAAGGCCTTAGTTACTTTGAGGAACTCATCCATATTATGTTACGCAAAAATGGATGTCAGTGCATCTAGGTACAAACAAGCTGGGAAATGCACATGTGTGCTCGAATCCCAGGCATTCCTTACTCTGTATGGACAAATGCTGCACAGCCACTTGATGCTGTGTTGTGACTTGGTTCAGTAAACAGATTGTTTGAAAGAAACCTAGCAACCATATTGGAGAGGATTTACTTGGAATGCTTGTGCATGGATCCTGTTACTTGCATCAATCCGACTTTAAATAAAAGTTGGAGCGGCATCTAAAGTATTAGGCACCAGGGCAGGGAACGTGGCCAATAACTGGGAGAAACAAGTGATAGTAAAAGCTTGTTTAAAAGAGTATCACTATTTCAATTAGAAGTGTCAGTTTGGCTCAGTTGGTATCATTCTTGATTTGGAGTCAGAAGGCTGTGGATTCAAGGCCCAAACTTGGGCAAACGCTCATAATCCAAACTGACACTTCAATACAACACAAAGAAAAACACTGCACTGTCAGAGGTGTTGTCCTTTGGATGAGATGCTGTGGCATGATGTGTGCATGATGATGCAGCAGCTGAAAGTGGTGTGACTGACCTATAAAATAATAGAACTGATTGTGTTGATTGCAAAATAGAATAGTACCATCTCACAATTCACACAAGCTATAGAATATCGCTATGCTTCTCTACAGTGCTGCATTGAGTAATTATGTAGTTAGTTTGCCCTATGTATCTATTTAAACCCTTTTACCTTCAATCCCACTGTATTGACTTCACTCCTTGAAAAACGCGATTTGCTGGTGACTGGGTCAAATAGGTTTCACCTTCTTAAAATGTTCTCTGTCTTTTTTCAAACTGAAACGCCAGCCAGTAATTCTTTCAGAGGCTCATAAATCAATAGAGATTGCCTTCCGTTCAATCCTAACCAGTTTTTGTTTCTCTCAGAAACAGCTGGGGTTCCAGCTGCCGATCCTCACTGTGGAAGACTGCCCGCACAACATGTTAGCTTGTAACGGAAGCAGTAGACATTCAGAAAACATCAGAACCAATGTTCAGGAGGAACTGGAGTGGAGCTCCCTTAATACAGCAAAACAGAATGCCAGCCTTCCACTCTGGAAAGCTCTCCTCTTCTGAAGGCATCGACTCACAACAGACATTGGTTCCAAGGGTGCCAGCTGTTCTATGGTTCCTTGCCTTTTCTGTTTCTGTTTATCATGCCCAAACCTACATACTCAGTGTCGTGGGTTTGGGCATGATAAAGCCCGATAAAGCCTGATCGTGCACTTATCAAGCCTGATCGTGTCCAAACTGTTCACACACAGACTGGATACTATTGAGAGTGGAAACTACCAATAAAACAAAGCACTGAAAACAATTTTTCAGGTCCTCTGGTCACTACTGACATGACTTCCTGCATCCTGCACATGTCCGTCATGTGCAAGATGCAGCGCTGATATCACTTCCTCAGCAAATGACATCAGCAGTACTTCCTGGGAAGAACACACATCTGAAAGGTACCAGAAGTGATCTCACCAGTAACCTGACCACTCAACAGATGACTATGTTTTAAGAAGGGAAATCAAAGTCAGAAATTGTGTGTGCAATACTTTTGGTGTAGCAGGGTCTACAGTTCACCTGCGTTTTTAGTGGACTAGCACTAAACCACAGTGAATAATAACAAGGTCACCATGTATCATGTATAACCTTTTCTTAAAAGAAATGAAAGCCCTGTCCCTTTAACATGAAATGGGCCATTTCTGCCTTAAATATTTTATCCTCCTAACCTAATTTTTTCATTCGATTTCCAGTTTTTTTTAATTTAAAACTGGAGAGCTGTGAGCTCTTTCCTTTGGTTTATATTGGACTCCACGAGTGATTTTCCGGTGAGAATGGCAAACAAACAAAGATATTTTAAAAATATTTTCCTTGCCCTTTGACCTGTGGGAGCTGAATTTAAGTGTAGTGCAAACTGCATTGCTAACCTGCAAACAGTAGTTCCAACTTCATGGTAGCGAGTCAGAAGACTGAGCCAGTGGTGCAGAGTAACCCCATCATAATGTGGTTGCCTGGGACCATAAGCGCAGTTCCTGTATTAAAATCAAGCTTAAAAAATGGTAGACTTCCGGGTGATTCTTGCAGAGACTGCATTCTGACACTGCATTCTTTATTATGTATATATCTATATGCACATTACGATACTGATATTACTTCCTTCGTGAGCACGCAGGATGTGACATCAGCAATGACCCATGGATCTGAAAAGCAGCTATTTTTATAGACATCAGAAAAAAAATATTATTTTTTAAGATTACCAAACGTATTTGAAATGTAATGGTCTAACTAAGTTTTTTATTAGGAAATGCACTAATTAAAATTCTTAACATGAAAGGACCATGTTGGCTTCAATGGGCCCAAATTTCCTTTTTGTTTGTTTTAAACTTTAAGGCTGCACGGAATTGAAAAAATATCTTAAATTCAGTTTTAATTTGGAATCCATTTTTTTTAAGAAATGCAAACAAAAAGATTTCTACATTAAGAATGAATTGAAGAGTTTTCCACAATTCTGTGTAATCTTAAATTTTAAGACAAAATCATCTCATACATTAAGACCTGGAACTTTGGGCCTAATGTATTATAATTCTATTACATGGAGTGGGGGGTGATAAGTGTGTGCTAATTACCATATCACATCGCCAAATATTTGTAGTCAAACTTGGTAATAATTATCAGATAGACAACAGTGTAACCTGTCTAATTTTAAACAATGGTGTAGCACAATCACAGCCTTAAGTGATAGTTGACATTGTAGTTTCAGTCCAGCTTCACAGGATGCCCGCATCCTGTAACTCTGTTTAAACCAGTTGTTCAAGGCTGAGTTAGTTGCCTTAGTGACTTCAGTTTCATAAGAAACAGTGAAGGTAAACTCTGCCTGGAGAGGTATATAGATTAATACGTGGGGATGCATGAAGCACCTGGAATGTTGCCTGCTGTGGGGGCAGTGTTGAAGTAAAGCTATTATTGCTGCAGTATGAGCACAGAACATAGCAATCACACACACCCATTCAGAGAATGATCTATAAGGCTGTCAACACAAGTAGGAAACACAATAAGTTGATACTTCCTAAACAATGGGGATAATATTTTTTATAGCTGTAGCTATATGGGTGAAATGAGGCCAGCTATTCCACATATAATCTTCAGATTAGTAACATTTAGCAAACTATTATAAATTTGAACTGCTGTTACAGCCGTTATTCAAGACTAACAAGCCATGAAGCTCTGTCAAACTCCACTCAATTTTAATGGAGATAAAGTTATTCTACAAAGAGGTAGTGAAATCAGGAATGACACTGGGGTCTAAATTGCAATACTTCTCTGTGGGATTTCTAAAAAATCAGATTTGTGCCTAGACTTCTTCTAGCTTTTTTTTTATTAATGCTTCAAATTAAACTCCATTACACTAGATATAACATGCTGAAGTGAAGGCAACTCAGTGCAGATCAGAGATGGCCTTCAAATTATCCTGTATTAAATTAAATTTATAAAGCTTTGTTGTTCAGTCTTATTCAGAATGAATATTTTTGGTACACTATCACAATGAGCAGGGTGAATGGCAGGGTGAAAGCAGCAAACAGCTGCCAACATAGCAATGAAAATCTGAGCCGCCAAGATCAACCATGAAGGAGATGGTTTGGCCACACTCAAAAGAAACTTTCACCAGAAGATTGGTCAGTTAAAGGTGTAATGTTTTCATGAGTGGGGGCATGGGCATTTAGCAAGTTTTTGATTAAAAGTTTGCTGGAGACGTGAAATGAAAAAAAAAGGGGGAACATACTGCAGGTTGATCAACATCTGAAAGAGAGAGAAGTCCAATATTTCTTGTGAAACCCTTCATCAGATGCTGAACCATTAACATATTATTTTCTTTCAGATATTGATGACCTGTGTAGTTTTCCAGCATTCTCTGTTGTTGGCAACACTTGTTTGGGAAGCCACATATCCCATGATAAACTATGGATTTGAGAAATGCAATGATGCATATCTTATTCATACAAGAAATGCTTTGATGCCACAACAACAACAACAAATTGAAATTATACACCACCTTTCATGTTTGGAGGATGCCCCATTTCATAGTAACATAATTGGCTGACCAAACACTTTTACTTTAAAACGCCTCAAAACTATTTTTGATGTTGGAGACTTTTCTGTTAAATATGCTTCCAATTGTCCTAGATCTTACACAACAATAATGCTGCGAAAGATTAGTGTGCTAACTGCACCAAACAGTAAGCATCTATCTAGCTATTGATCTTCAGTTACTCGTCTTTAATGAAACAATGCTGTGTGTTGGTGTCAATTTTAGGTAGTCTTTGGAGATTTACATCTCAATTCATGGAGTATGACTAGCAAAGGGATTGTCTCTATTTCTTCCTCTGATGTTTTTTTCATTCCATCTCATTCTATTTTAGTTTTCTTGTCAATTGCTCTCCTTTTTTCTAGGTCTTCTATTTGTGTTAAATGTCTCTTATCTTATCTCTATATCATTGCATTCTCTTTCTCTCTATTCTTTCTCTGCTTTAGCGTTGTTTAAGATAAGATTGAATACAATAGCTTCAAATACTGAAAAGAAATGAAAAAAATGGGCAAGTTCAGTAGAATGAGATTCAAAGATTAGATACGAGAAGATATAAGAACATGTTGATTCTTACCTCCTAGTGGTGGCCCCAGAAGCACAGGACAGCACTCGACGATCGTCACAAGCCCCACTGCATTGGAGAACCTCTTGGCTCCAACTAAATCCATTAGCGTTTCGAATAAAACGGAGCTCACCATCCCGAAGGCGAAGCCAAAGAAGATGGCGTAGATCACCAGACCTGTATAGTCCTCTGCTAATGGACACAGAACGTGACAGAGCCCATTGTAGAATACCGCAAAACTTAAGAAATACTGGATTTTTGGTCTCACCCATTTAGAGTTTGCGAGAAGACCCATGGAGGGCCGTGCGAACATGTCTACAAAAGCAAGAATGGAAAGCAAAAAGGCTGCAGAATACTCATCTATGCCCTTGTGCTTGGCATAAGGAGCCAAGAACACTATTGGGGAAAAGAAGCCAAAGAACATGATAACGTTTCCTGATAAATAAATGAGAAAACCTCGATGCTGGAAGAGGCTGAGATCAAGGTACTTATTTAATACTGCATACAATGAAAACTTTTTCTTCTCTTTCTTCAAAGAGCTGGCCCCTGTGTCTGCACTCTCATCCTTCTTCGGGGCTGCAAACTCTGGGTCTTTTTTGATCTTGGGCGTTGGCTTGGGTACCAATGGCCTCATCAAGGAACCTGCCACACAGCAGTTTAACAGGAGTCCACCGAGGATGATGAAACTGCCTCTCCATCCAAACTGATTGAATAAGAACTGATTTAAAGGTGCCAAACTACAGAGAAACACTGGACTACCAGCCATAGCCAGTCCATTAGCAATAGGTCTCTTCTTGTAAAAGTACTTTCCAATCATAGTTAAGGAAGGTTGCAAATTGAAAGCCAATCCAAGACCTAAAGAAGTGAGCAGAATATTATTAATCCATAATTTTACCATTATAGTTGGACTAAACAATTGTGAAATCTAGTTGCAATGTCCTACAGTTAATAGGGGATGTGCCTCACATCATCCTTCCTCATTGTTTTTCTGAGTGAAATTATTTAACGAAAATAAAAAAGGTATATCTATATGAAATGAAACACAAATATTGCATTTTGTTGTTTGTTAAAAATATTTGATAAGGGCCATCGAATTCTGAAAGTAAACACAAAGTTAATGAATTACCATCATGTGGTATTTAGGGTTTTTTTAAGCCACGTTTTTATACCCTTTCTCTCTCTTTAATCAATTCAACCTAAACCCTCACTCCCTCCACCATTTCAGCCAATACTATCACACAATGTTCTTTGATCAAGCAGGCAGCACACGCCAGCCAGCGGACAGCTCCTGCCAATGCTGATCAATCAACCTGCTAAGTGGCAGGCTTGCATGACGGAGGAAGGCAGTTTTTCCTCTCCTACACATGATTCAGTTAGTGCTAACTACAGTTGCTCTCCAGGGAAAGTCCATGTGCAGATATCAATCGAGACTGTAATTCATGCCCAATCCTACACTGTAAGTACCATTCAACCCCAATGTGTTGTCACTGTAAGCTGGATGTGAAAACATTACTTTTGCTAGAACGTAGAGAGGGTATATCTATACAGCTGTGGGCATTACTCACCTCCAATGATCCCTATACAAACGTAAAGCCCAATAACATTGTTGACGAATGAAGCAGATATCATCCCAAATGAACACAGGAGCCCTCCACCAATCATCACTGGACGGGATCCATGCTTGTTTACAAGAATGCTGCTTATAGGCCCTATTGAAAGAACAAGAAATTATTTGTGTTTCACAACTTCCAAACAAATGCCTTTGAATACTAATATGTTCAATAGACCTTCAGGAAATTGATACAAAAACCTGTAGAGAACAATTAATTGCCATTCAGTCCTCCATGTCACTGTCCAGCAATATTTGTTTTTATTATTTTTGAATGGGAACATGCCGATTTGGTTCTGAAATGGTTAAATTTTACCATGGCAAATAAAGTTGTGTTTACATGAATTTATCTCAATGAGCTACAATTTCACAGGGGGCACATGTGGCTCCGACACTCACAATTACAGCAGTCGGGCTCTTTGTATATTCTCTGCCAAGAATTATATTTTCATAGCTGGCAGCAACATGTCTCTAAGTAGTGTCAAATTATGTTGATCTATCAGCACTTTTTACACTTTTTTCGTAATCTCTTAAAAGGGGCGATTCATTTACAAATATTCCAACAATGGGGTCTATTTTTGATTTCTTCAAACCAGATTTAATAATAATCCTTGCATTTGATATAGTGCCTTATCACATATTCGAGACAAAAGCGTTTCACAGAATATACTGTAAAATGAATTGGTTGTATATTTTGTGGGCGAAATGCGACAGCCAATTGCGCACAGCAGTATCCCAACTGAGTGACCAATTTATTATTATAGGTTTGAATTGTAACGTCTGATTGCAAATGTTTGTAACTTGCGAATCTCAAATTCCAAATTAGCAAAGTCTGGGGAAATTTTAGAAGCTGAAAACTCCAAGATAGAAGTTGTATTAATGCAACAAATAAGACAATGTTACGATAGCTGTTGTTTGAAGAATAGAAAATGCCCAGGTGTGGGGAGACAGTATGTTACACTATATCGATCTCTATCTAAAAATTCGAATGGGTGCGCTGATTTAAGACTTTACCCATCTGGAAGCATCAGTAGTTAGTGGTTAGAGCTGCAGCTTATGCACCAGGAACTAACTGGTTCGAGTACCTGGTCCGTGCTGAATTTATTGGTTTCAACTGAGTTTGTAAGGGGTGATTAAATTTGCCCTGGCCTTCCTCGGGTGAAGGAAGGGAAAATCAGTCAAGGTTCCTGTTCTTGATCCCTCTTCAGCACCCTCTTCTGTTGTATGGGTGACGGTCTGGCAGGGAGGAGAGGTGTAGGCTCGGCTGTGATCAGGCAATGTTCTGTCAACACTCACTGCCAAAGCTCACACACGAAAAACAAGTTGGGTGGTCAATCAGTAACTTAACAAAAGGAAACCAAACCTGAAGTACAGAGGCCAGTGGGAGAAAATTAGAAAAATAATTGGATTCCTTAGAAAAGATCACCAGATCCATGTCAAAACATTTAACAAACACATTGCTGATCAAATTTGCACATTAAGAAAAAGTCCTTTATCCAACCAAGCTGACTTCTTCCACAGTGAGTCTCCGATGAGAGCAGAAAATCTGACCGTAAACACCAAAGTCTGGTTATTGCTCAGGATTTAGCACACAACTGAGTGGTGCATTCATGGATTTAGCTGTTCTCTCCAGCTGTGTCCCCTTGTTTATGGCCTTTATGAGAAGTGTAAGGTTGGGAGCAGGTGAAAGTCAAGACACATTATTTAAAAAGCCAATCCATAGTGTAGCAGCCCACAAACTGCTGACTTCGAAAGTTGCTTGCCATCATCACCATGCTCAAAACTTATGACTCACTGAGGCAATCCAAATGCTAACAACCACAAAAGCTTTAGCTGATGGGGTGAAATATTATCGAAAGAAAACATCTTTTTGATGACTGTTCTGTGACTATTCATCATTTCTGTAACTGTTAAGATTCTAGACGTAAAATAGCTTGTTTCCAGAGTTTCCTTTTTTGGATTATTTTTCCCTCAAGTCAAATTAAAAACACTGAAAAAAGGAAGCTATTCAGTCTTGAGCTATTCCAGATCACTGGCCTGCTTATTGTAGACAGTACAACATCTGGGATACAGTGAAAAACCAGACTGGAGCACACAATGCAAGAGTTCTAGTAATCACACAGCACCATGCTTGTCAAGTCAGGATTGTCCTATTCACTAGGATTTCAGCAGGTTAAAGAACATGTCAGCACCTTCAAGACTACCTGAGACGGCTAAAGACCTGCCTGCCCAGCTTAGTTATTCAGCCACAGAAAGAACTCTCTGTATATCAGTATATGTATTTTGGACTGCAATGTACTTCCAGTTCTTTGGCCTCTAAAACTATGCAGTTTTCAGCGAATGGTAAATAGGTTCAAATCCTAATTACTTTGCTCAACTCTTCACTTCTTTCAGCTCAATGAGAGCTGTCCTAATAATAATCATCCTTGCATTTGTTATAACACCTTATCATGTCTTCGAGACGTCTCAAAGCGCTTCACAGAATATACTATAAATTGAATTGACTATGTATTTTGTGGGTGAAACGCAGAAGCCAATTGAACACAGCAGTGTCCCACACACAGTCATGGATTGAGTGACCAAATTTTTATTTTAGAAATATCTTTATTTTAGAAATGTTTTAAAAATATCCTTCTGGGAAGTAAAATGAGGTAAGCTGGATTTCCATTGGGCTCAGTTAACTCTTGGAAGACATTCCTAACACATCCCGAGAGGTCGTCAATAATCCAAACCACGGTCAATGATTGACTACCCTGTCTGTCATACAAATCAGAGCCAGAGGTATTCATTTCCCAACCCTACAAATATAGCTCTGATAGGCAGGAGTGCTCCAAGTAGGGCAACTACCATGCTACTTTTCACCCCCAAAATATACAATCAATTCACTTTACAGTATATTCTGTGAAGCGCTTTGAGACGTCTTGAAGATGTGATACGGCGCTATATCAAATGCAAGTATTATTATTATTGATTTACAATAAATACAAGGTTTTACACCAAATACCCTTTTCATCATAATGGCAGTTATACTGGGATATCCCAACAATCAACTGCAGATCAGTTCTCAATAAGAGAATGACCACACAATTGTTAACCCTCTTGTTTGAGCATCTGTAATGCCCTCGTGGACTTGGAATCCATTGGACAGCTGGAGCCCACTCCATTAAGCTGGAGCCAATGTGAAAACAAGCCCAAAACAGAATAAGAGCTGACCTTCAACAGCTTTTTCAAATAATGTTTCAAATCATTTCAAGGCTGTAATCTAAGCTAAACCTCAGATGACAGTTATAAACTTCAGGCTTGATACAAAATCCTTTGAACCCTTTGATCAGATCAATGCTTTGTAATTGTTCTCAGTGATTCCATTGTGCTTTAAGCATATTTGTCCAATACACTGAATCACTCTCATGGAGAATGCACATTTGATTTCCCCAAAACTGATGATGGTTTGCCGATCTCAGGCACACTGAGGAGGAGATGAAAAATGAGATGAGAATAATGGAAAGTAGAAGGAAAGTCATATCTGATGGATCCACTCAATTTGTCACCTTTTGCAATACAAAATTACATTTGTATAGCTTTCACGTTAGGAGGATGTCCCAAGGTACTTTCAAGGTTAATAAAATAAATACCTGTCTGAACAATATTTAGACAATATGCATGTGTACAGTAAATCAGGTCTCAATGTGGTTAAACTGTGGTTCAAACCAAAACAAAATAGGTCTCCAGTTTTTGGTGTTTTTGCAACTGTACCAATGCATCCTCAAACCCAAACCCCAATGTATAGGGTAGACCAAGCTGAAGTGCAGTAATAATAACCAATGTTCTTCTTCTTTATTGGTTAAATACTCAGTTAATATTATTTTCTATTGAAGAAAACAACTCTAATGGCAATAATAAGTACAGACCTAAATATTGCTTTTATTGCACTTTGAACATTTTTCATTTTGAACATTCTGTTAGTAAAAATTATGCAGCTCTTTTGTTGAGCCATGTATCATCAACTCCATTTGATTGCATGCTGACGACAGTACATGGATTGACCCAAAACCAGTGACAGATTTATAATAGTCTGGATCTTTAGAAGGTATTGCCTCTTTTCAAGAGAAGCAGTACAAGTGCTTTTGCACTGCTCGGGCAAGGGGGTGAAACAGAGCAGAAAATACAATGTAATGAATACCTAGCTTGATCTTTAAATCAACCATTGCTTTATCTGTGAAAATTCGCAGGTCACTGCCCACTGGCTCCTACTCTGTTGGCAAGGAAAAACTTGATCTCAGAATGCTTACAGCAAAATCTGCTGTCAAACTGCATTTTTCAACACCAGGTACTGTGGCACAATGTGAAAGAGTGAAAATGTACTCAAAGACCCAAGAAAAATCGAGTTTGTAGACAGAACTGAGTGTGTAGGAGCTGTAAAAACAGTGAATTTATGTTTATGGCCTGTTGGATAGGAATGGAAGGAATTTTATCCAACAGTGATCTTTGACTGAATGTAACAAAACCACAGGTACATCACAACATTAATTCTATTGGTTTTCAGTGCATTCTGTGCAGTTGTGCAATGTATATAGCTCTGGTCTGGTGTGAAGGGCGCTATATAAATGCAAGTTGTTGTCTGCATTGAAAAAGCAGTGATTGTAACTGAACCACAATAAGCTTAGAGAGATAACAGACACTTCACTATCAGTAAGCTTTACACATCTTCTTCGTATTTAAAATGTGGCTGTACTTAAATTGTGTGCGTCTTGGGTGAAGAAAATGCTGTTCTCCAATTGATTGATTTCTGGAAGTCAAGCTTAGCTCCTTGTTAGACATCTAAATTGAACTACTGATGCAATTCAGATGAAAACATTTAAAAATCATTACGTTTAAGGAAAATATGATGCTAAGGATTTGATCTGGGACCTATGAGGATCTTAAGTCACGCCTGAGTGCAGATTTATGAATATTAATCTTGCACGGGACTGGATTCCAAACCCATCAATCTTATTAACCTCAGTGTGCAGCGTACAATCTACATATCAATTCACATGCTCAGACTGTGGACTCTTTCTAGGATGTATCATTATAGAATTGCTGACTTCATTTACGCAGGTG